TGTGTCACAAAAAGGGTGGGTTCTAATGTCTTTTTTTTACTATTACTAAAGTTGGTTCAGAAACCCAATTCTACAAATATTTTTACAGCAAAAAAGGCTTTATACCAAGAGTTTCCCTCTACTTTCTGTTCTATGCAAATTGTTCTGTTAATCATAGGGTTTCGCTTCTTCACATTGCCCTTTCACCATCGGCGTCTTTTCCCTTCATACGACTGAGTTCTCCTCTACACCTACATGATGCGTGCTTCTCTGTACTCCCCTTTGGTAATCCATCTGTTCCATCTCAAGGTCTTAACTGTCATCTTTATTTCCAAATCCATGCAGTCAAATTTCCCATCTTCCCTGAATCCGTCTTACATTTACCCCCTTGGATGGCATCCATTTCTGCACTGCTAACTAACTGTCCTCATTCAATTCTGATTCATAATGACTGTAAAGTCCAGAGCAGAACTGATCCCTAAGGTTTCTGAGGATGTAAGTCTTCAAAAAGAAGTGCACAACTTCATCTTTCTCCCTAGAAATTGTGATTGGGCTCACTGCTGACTGCATGCAGTAGCCTAACGGGTAACCCACTATACCATGAGGGCCCTTTGCCCTGCTAGCAACTTAAAAGCAAAAATAGAAACAGAAACAATGCTGCCCTCCAAATGAACAATATTTAAAATGATTAATCTTAGCCCCCAAATCTGCCTGATTTTTAATTTTGATAATTATCAAATGTTCTCCCAGGCACTTGGGCTTATTCATAAACTGTACCCTGCTTTATCTCCCCACCTGGCCTCACATCCCTCCTACAAGTGAAAGTTATAGTTTATCCACGCACTCTTTGGAACATCGCTGCCTCTCTTCAGGACGTGGACTGAGAGATATTTTGGAGGATGCACAGATAAACTTTACAACTGTCATAACCTCTAGAGCAGCTCTTTTATAATCCTTCTTTACACACAGGAAGTCTCCTTTTTAAAAAAAAATTCATTTTATTGGGGACTTGTACAACTCTCATCACAATCCATCCATCGTGTCAAGCACATTTGTTGCCATCATCATTCTCAAAACATTTCCTTTCTACTTGAGCCTTTGGTATCAGTTCCTCATTGTTCCCCCTCTCTCATAAACCCTTGATAATTTATCAATTATTTTTTCATCTTACACTGTCTGAAGTCTCCCTTCACCCACTTTTCTGTTGTCCATCCCCCAGGGAGGTTATATGTAGATCCTTGTAATTGGTTCCTCCTTTCTACCCCACCTTCCCTCTACTCTCACCACTGGTCCTGAAGGGATCATCCGTTCTGGATTCCGTGTTTCCAATTCCAATCTGTGCCAGTGTACATCCTCTGGTCTAGCCAGATTT